CTTCTGCCTTCCAAATTCCTGCATGGTCCCAAGTCAAGCTTTCATTCATATTGTTATTTCCCCATCCAGAATACCATGCTCTCTGTATTAGTGAAAAAATCTTCCCCTCCCACTGCTGTCCTTCAGAACCCACCTAGAATCCCATGCCTTGTAGGAAGCCTCAGCATTCTTCATTTTGTTTTGTTTTGTTATTATTTTAATTTTTTAATTTTAATTTTCAGTTCCAAATTCCCTCCCTCTACCCCTTCCGCCACCTATTGAGAAGGCAAGAAATAGAATGCCCATTATACATATAAAGTCAATGCAAAACATATTTCCACATTAGTCACATTGAAAGAGGGAAAAAAAAGCAAGAAAAATTAAGGAAAGTGGGAAAAAAAATCTGCTCTCAGGATTCATCCATTCTCAGGGGGTAGGTGGGGATTGGCATGAGAGGAGGATAACATTTTTCCTCAAGAGTCCTTTGAAATCGATGTAGATCATTGTCTGCTTCAGAATAGCTGTCTTTCACAGGTGATCATTGTTATACCGTTGCTGTTACTGTGTGCTCTTAGTTCTGCTCATTTCACTTTGCGTCAGTTCATGTAAGTCTTCCCTGGTTTTTCTGAACCCACCCCCTCATTATTTCTTGTAGCACAATAGTGTTCCATCACAATCATATACCACAGCTTATTCAGCTGTTCCCCAATTGATGGGCATTCCTTCAATTTCCAATTCTTTGCCACCACAAAAAGAGCTGTTTTAAATATTTTTGTACATATGGGTCTTTTTCCTTTTTCTTTGATCTCTTTGGGATACAGACCTAGTAGCGGTGTTGCTGAGTCAAAGGATATGCACAGTTTTATAGCCCTTTGGGCATAGTTCCAAATTGCTCTCCAGAATGGTTGGATCAGTTCACAACTCCACCAATAGGCATTAGTGTTCCAGTTTTCCCATATCCCCTCCAACACTTGTCCTTTTCCATTTCTGTCATATTAGCCAATCTCAGAGTTGTTTTAATTTACATTTCTGTAATGGATAATAAGTTAGAGCATTTTTTAAAAATATGACTATAGATAGTTTTGATTTCTTCTGAAAACTGCCTGTTCATATCCTTTAACCATTTATCAATTAGGGAATGACTTGTATTCTTATGAATTTGACTCCACTCTCTATATATTTGAGAGATGAAAGCTTCACCATTCTTAATAGTTATAATGTAGATGACACAGCTCTCTAGCATATCAATACAATTAGCAATATAACTCATCATGATACTTTCATAAATATCTCAAGGCTCCATGATGCTATCACTGATGCAGATTGTAATCCCTAGGTGACCTGAAGGCTGGGTCTTTGAATGTTGGTGGCAATAAACCTGTGGGACTTCAGCCAGCACACTAAACATCTCTGGACCCTCCTGGGGAGCCTTCCCAGATTTCCAGAGCCTGATAAAGTTGCGCCTGCACTGGCAACTCCTTCCATTGTCCAGGGCCACCTTCCTACCTGGGCCAGGCTTTGGGGGAGGGCAAGCTCCTAACGATCAATGATCTCTTAATTGCCAAATCTAATGGCCTTTTCTCAGTTCTCATGCTCCTTCCCCTTTCCACAGCCTTGGCTCTCCCTGTCTTGATACTGTCTTCTCTAGGCTTTCAGGACACCTCTCACTCTCCTGGTTCTCCTGCCTATATGATAAATCTTCTGTCTCCTTTGCTGGATCCCCCTCTAGGTCAAGCCTTCTAACCACAAGTGTCGCACAAAGCTCTATCCTGGGCCCTTTTCTCTTCTCCCTCCATACCGCTTCACTTGGGGAATCTCATCAGCTCCCACGGATTTAATAACCATCTCTAGACTGATGATTCTCACCAATATTTACCCAACTTTACTCTGAGGACCTCCAGATTTGCCTATTGGACATCTCAAACTAGATGTCCTGGAGACATCTTTTAAATTGACATGTTCAAAATCAGACTCGTTATCTTTCCTCTCAAACCATCCCCTCTTCTGGGACTTTCTCATTACTGTTGACAGTACATTCATCCTCCCAATCACTGAGGCTCCAAGCCTAGGAGTCATCCTCAGCAACTCCTTCTCCCTCATCCCCCATCTCCGATCTGTTGCCGAGATCTGCCAAGGACTTTTGGACCATCAGCCCTTTCTCCCTTCTGAGGTTGCCTCTATATGGGTATGGACCTTGTTTCTTTGAGTCTGAACCACTGCTTCAGCTGCTGCCAGATATCCTGCCATAAGGCTCTCCCCGCTCCAGTTCATCATTCCTCCTCGAAGCTGCCAAAGTGATCTTCCTCAAGGGCAAATCTGATTCTGTCACTCCTCTCTATTCACTAAACTCCAGTAGCTCCCTATCACTGCTAAGATTAAATATAAAACCATCTGACTTTCCAAGCCCTTGATAATCTAGCTCCCTGCTCCTTGCCAGGCTTCTAGCCTCCCCTTACTCTGTACTCTTAGATCCAGTGACGCTGACCTCCTGGATGTTGTGTAAACCAGATGTTCCATCTCCAGACCAGACAAGGGGCATTTTCTTTTTTCTTTTCTTTTCTTTTCTTTTTTTTGGGGGGGGAGACAATTGGGGTTAAGTGACTTGCCCAGAGTCATTTAGCTAGTAAGTGTTACGTGTCTGAGGCCAGATTTGAACTCAGGTCCTTTTGACTCTGAGCCCGGCCACCTAACTGTCCCCAGTCGGGGCATTTTCTCTGGTTGGCTCCCATGCCCAGAATTTTCTCTTTCCTCATTTCCCCCTCTAGGTTTCCTTGGTTTCCTCCAAGTCCCAGCTAAAGTCTTGCCTTCCCCAAGGTCTCTTCATTCTGGGTTTCCCTCTGTTGATTATTTCATATTTAGCTTTTATATAGTGTGTTCGTACATAGTTGTTGCCCTCATCAGATGGTGAGCTCCTTGAGGGCAGGTACCGACTTTGACTTTTCTTTGCATCATCAATGCTTTGCACAATGCCTGGAACATAGTTGTTGCCTTTCTGACTGACTGACTGACTGACTAATGAAGGCTGACGAGTAGGCCAAATAGAACTGATTGTTGTTGTTGAGGGCTGAGCTTTGAAAGGCCCAGGTCTCCTGCTGCATCCTGTTGTCCTGATCCATATCTTGCCACTGGACCCAGATGACTCATGGAGGAGAGAGTGAGGCTGGTGACTTGGCACAGCCCTCCCTCACTTAGACCCAATGCACTGGCACGTCATGGCATCACCTCCCTGATGTCATGGTCCTCTTCAAGAACAAAGGAGAACAACAACCTCTGTGAGTAGAAAATAGGAGCTGCCCAACTGGGAACCCAACTGGAACTGACCAGTTGGGCAACACAGGGTCCATTTGACAGAGAAGGGGAAGGAATGTGGAGTGCTTGGACCGGACCTGGGATGGTTTAGTGCTCAAATTCCATCCCTCTTTCTCCTCTGGGGGGCCAGCTCTAAACTTCCTTGGGGAGATGGAAATGGGAAGGGAAGTTGGGGTGGGGATTCTTCCCAGATCTTCTCAGGGGACCATGCCTGGGTCCATCCACACTTCTCCTGGGTTTATATATTTGCATTCTATTCCCAACTTACCTTTCCCATGGCAGAGTTAGCAGGAATGGAGAGGGCGGGGGACTATAAGAATGTTAGAAAAAACAACTTTCTTTCTTACACACCCTCCTCAGACACACTTTGGAATGAGAAGACCTGGGTTCGAGTCTTAGTCCGGCCACTTGGTAGCTATGGCACTTGGCTGTGGGGGTGGGGTCCTTTCCTTCAGGGCCTCAGTTTCCATTCTTCGGACCTTTCCACCCGAGCACCCTTGCAGTGGGAGTCAGAATCCTCGAGTAGTAGCCCTGCTTCATCCTACCTCACTGTGTGAGCTTAGCCAAGTCCTTTCTCTTTCTTGGGCCTTGTTTTCCCCAGCTTTAAGCTGGAGGAGGGGGATGTGATTTGAAGGCAGAAAGGGTCTCCGAGGTTCGTCCCAGCTCTAAGAATCCTATCCAGCCTAGATTACACTCAAGATTTAGAGCTGGAAAGAACTTTAGGAGTCATCTAGTACAAACCCTTGGTTTTACAAATGAGGAAACTGAGGCTCAGAGGAGGGCGCAGACTTGCCCACGGCCCCAAAGTAGAACCAGGTCTTCAGGCTCCAAATAAAGTGTCCCCTGCCTTGGGCCTCCCAGTTGCAATGAGCTCCCTCACCAAATTACCCAATGTGGGAGGGGCTTCGGCCCCACCCTCATCTCCCTTTGCCCTCTTTCTTTCCCTCCCCAGAACGCCCTTCCTTTCCAGCTTCACCCGAACCCTAATTGCGGACCCTTTAGGAACCATTACAGAGGACTGTGGTGGGGGAAGGAAGTGCGGAGTGAGAGAAGGGCCCCAGACCCCCGCAGCCCCCTGTTTCTCAGGGCTGCTTCTCCCATCAGTTTCTCGCCCTCTAGATCCCCGCCCTGCTCCTTCTCCCTGAGGCCCCTCGCCCCCAGTTTGGCGATAGCCTCCAGCGCCCCTCCTTCTCCACCCCCCCAGACTCCTCCTCCTCCTCCTCCTCCTCCTCCTCCTCCTTCTCCCTCTCCTTCCAGGGCCCCCATCCCGCCCCCCCCCCGTCTGCCTCCTGCCTACTGCCTCCGGGGCCTCTCCCCCAGATCCCAGCCCCTCTTCCTACACCCCCAACTTTCCCATGGCTCCTCCCCTCCCTGCTCAGGCCCTCTCCCCCAGCTGCCGCCCCCCAGATCCCTCCTCCTCCTCCACCTAGGCCCCTCCCCCGCCCCGCCCTGGCCCCTCCCCTCCTTCCCTCCTCCCCTCTCCCTCTCCCCATCCCCTCCCACGGGCATCCTCGGTCACTTCCTGATTCCCGCTTCCTGCTTCCCAGAGTTGGGGATCCAGAGCCGCCACCGGACTCAGTCCCGCTGCCCTTGGCGAGCGGCGCCCACCCACCACCGGTGAGCAGGGGCGGGGCGGGGGAGGGGGCGCGGCTGCCCGAGGCAGCCCCTCCTCCCCCCCTGCGCTGGGACCCCGGGACCTTCCAGGAGCCGTCCTGGGGCGCGGGGTACAGAGGAGCCTGTGGCGGGAGAAGACCCCCCCTCCTGCACCCGTCTAGCCAGCAGGCCCCCCCATCTCTGCTGATCTGCTTTCCGGCACCCCCATCCTACTGCAGCAGCTTCGGCCCTGGCCTAGTTCCTCCGGAGGAGGGGAAGGGGGGACCTCTAGCCCCACCAGTCCAGGCAGAGAAGGGGCCTCACTCATCTGGCTGGGCTCAGGCCTGGGAGAGGGGCAGCCATCGGAGCAGACAGACTTGTGGGAGGGAATGATCGGGAGCCTGGGTCAGGGAGCCTCTGGGAGCTGGAAGGAGGTGGTTTAAGGACAGCCCTATTTTCCAAGGCCTTGGGAGGAGATTTCTGGAACACTTCCTTCCCACCCCCACTCCCATCCCTGCAGATGGGAACAGCTAAAGGAAGGCTTCCCGAAGCCCCCCAGGAAGCCACAGAGCCTTCGGTTTCTCTAGCAGAACAGATTTTTCTATCACCTAGGAGGGAAGGAGGCAGAAGGGACATTGTCCCCATTTTACAGGTAGGAAAACTGAGGCCCAGAGAGAGAAAGAGACATGCCCAAAGTCAGAGCCAGTACTAGAAGCCCAGGCATTCTGTGGAATGTCTGTACAAGATGGGGAATTGGGGGGCTGGGTTCAAGACCTACCTCTGCTACTTACCATCTGGGTGAATTTGGGTAGGTCCCTTTCCCCTCCCGGCCTCAGTTTCCCTATCTGTAAAATGAAGGGGTTGGACTTGATGATCCATAAGGTCCCTTAAAGCTGAGAGTTTATCCGGTCTCTAAACTGCCCGGGGGAAGCCTTCTCATGGCCAGGCAGACAGGGAGGGGGGCACCTAGGTTAACTGTGGGGGTAGGGTGGGGGGCAGGGTTCATTTCTGCTTTTCTCTTGCCAGACATGTCATTCCGCAAAGTGGTCAGACAGAGCAAGTTCCGGCATGTCTTTGGGCAGCCAGTCAAGAATGACCAGTGCTATGAAGACATCCGGGTGTCCCGTGTCACCTGGGACAGCACCTTCTGTGCAGTGAACCCCAAATTCCTGGCCATCATCGTGGAGGCCAGCGGCGGGGGGGCCTTCATGGTGCTGCCCCTGAGCAAGGTGCCTGCATTTATTCAGTCCATACTCTGCATCAGGCACAGACAAATATGAAAGAGCCTGCTCTCAAGGAGATTGGGTCTTCAGGGGGGACCGTCGCGTGGATGTAAAATATACGAAAGGAATTGGAGGGAGCAGAGAACATTAACTGTTGGGGTATCGAGGGAGCCATGTATGGGAGGTGTCTGCTAAGAATTCCAAAGGGCAGAGGTGAAGTGCGAGGGCATTCCAGGCCAGGGAGACGGCCAAGACGTCCAGAACTCAGGATAGATAGCCTATAGTCATTAGACCAGGTGGACCGACTGGAGTGCAGAGTGTGGGAGGGGGAGTAACGGAAAATCAGTCTAGAAAAACAGGTTATTGTCCGATGGTGACGGACCATTAATGCCACACCAGAGTTTCCATTTGCTCTTGGAAGTAATAGGGAGCCATCAGAGATAATGGAGAGGGGGAGTGCTCAGAAAGCTGAGGGGGAGGAAAAACAGGCGGGGGGCCCACTTGGTTATTTTTGTGGCGTTTCGTAGTCCGTGAGCATTCACTCCCAGCCTGGATCATTGGACTGACCTGAGTTGGGCCTGGCCCAGAGCCTAGTGCTATAGTGCAGGGGAGAGGTGCTGAGTGTCCAAGCTAGGGACGGTGGGGGCTGTGTGAGGGTCAGGAAGGGGAATGGACAAGATGTGACAACCGATTGAATGCCTTGAGGCGAGGGCAAGTGAGGAGTCAAGGATGACCTTGAGGTTGTGAACCCCTGGGCCTGGAGATTTGGGGTACCCCTGGCAGAGTTAAGACAGTGGCTAGAGCGCTAGGCCTGCAGTCAGGAAGACCCACATTCAAATCTGGCCTAAGACACTAGCTGCGTGACCCTGGGCAAGTCACTTCACCCTGTTTGCCTCAGTTTCCTCATCTGTAAAAATGAGCTGAAGAAGGAAATGGCAAACCATTCCAGGACCTTTGCCAAGAAAATCCCAAAAGGGGTACAAAGAATGGGACGTGACTGAACAATAGCAGAATTAGAGATATTCCTCCTCTGTCTGAGACTTTATTTTCCCTGACTCTCTGGAGAGGAGACTAATCATCCCTTGTGTTTATTCACATCTCTTACCTTGAGCTTGAAAAAGAAGTGGGAAGGCCAGGCGTGTGTTGTGAGTCCCATTGTAGAGACAAGGAAGTGAAGGCCTAAACTGTGCATTTATTTGCCCAAGGTCACCCAGCTTGTAAGACCCAGAGTCAAAAATTGCTACTGGCTTTGGAGGCAGAAGCCTTGGGATAGGATGGAGCCCCGGTGCTCGCTCCGAGCGGGGCCGGGGGCCTGTCCCTGCCTCGTTCTGGGGCTGGCTGAACTCCCCAAGGCTGCCCGACTCCAGAGCTTCTCTCTTGGGACAGCTGGGGGCCCCCCTGACTTTCTCTTTCCTCTCCATCCTGCTGCGTGCCTACAGACAGGGCGAATTGACAAGTCATATCCCACGGTATGTGGGCACACTGGACCCGTCCTCGACATCGACTGGTGTCCACACAATGATGAGGTCATCGCCAGTGGCTCTGAGGACTGCACAGTCATGGTGAGAGGCTAGGGACTTACCCTTGGCTAGCCGTGGGGACGGGGAGGGCCCCTCCTCTGGCAGCCTCCCGTTAACTCTTGGCCACGGCGGGGTCCCTGTGGTCTGGCCCACAGGTCTGGCAGATCCCGGAGAATGGCCTGGTGGCGCCCCTGACAGAACCCGTGGTTGTCCTAGAAGGCCACTCCAAGAGAGTGGGCATTGTGACCTGGCATCCGACAGCCCGGAACGTTCTCCTCAGTGCAGGTCTGACGACACCCCCCCCAAGCTGTCCACGAGCTGTTTGAGTCACCCTTGAAAATGTGGTGGTCACGAATAAGCCTCAGCACCCCTGTGAGGGAGGGGCAGCTAGGTGGACTAGGAGTCAGTAAGATCTGAGTTCAAATCTTCCCTCGGGTGCTTATTTAACTGGGCAAATCCTGCTTCTTCATCTGTAAAATGGGGATAACAATAGCACCTGCCTTCGAGGGTCATTGTGAGGCTCTAGTAAGATGTTGGTAAAGCCCACTGTCAGTGAGGCCTGGCCTCACCACTTCCAGGCTGTATGACCTTCTCTGCGCCTCAGATTCCTCCCCCTTTGTAAAATGAGGCCTGGAGTCAATAGAGCACCGGCCCTGGATTCAAGAGGACCTGAGTTCAAATCCAATCTCAGACATATAACACTTACTAGCTGTGTGACCCTGGGCAAGTCACTTAACCCCACTGCCTAGCCAAAAAAAAAAAACCACTTATGAGCACTGACATATAAAAGGTGCCAAGATGCCCAAGTTGTCCCATGAAATGGTGTTTCTTGTTTTAAAAAAAACAAAACCCAAGGCCTGGGCTCTGGCCCCCAAGGTCCCTCCCAGTCCTTAGCACGGCGGTTGTTATTAGCTGGTGACGAGCAGTGTGCTCCCTTACTTAGAAGGGTTGTGCTTAATTACTCCATCGCGTCATTGGGAGCAGTGGGAAGAATTCATTATTGCCCCATTTGCCAGGTAGGATAAGTGAGGGCCCAGAGGAGAGCAATTTCTTTAAAGCCACATAGCAAGTTAGTGGCAGAGCCAGACAGAATCAAACCCGTGCCTTTTATGTGAGGGGTAGATGGGTGTCTGGGCGTGGGGAGGACTGAGGGACCGGCCGGGCCCCTGCAGGCTGTGACAACGTGGTGCTCATCTGGAACGTGGGCACGGCGGAGGAGCTGTACCGTCTGGATGACCTGCACCCCGACCTCATCTACAACATCTCTTGGAACCGCAACGGAAGCCTCTTCTGCTCTGCTTGCAAAGACAAGAGCGTGCGCGTCATTGACCCTCGCCGAGGCACCCTGGTGGTGGTACGTGTGGACCCTCCCACTGGCTCGCTGTCAGAGGAGGTCTGGGTGCCATCTTGGAGTCCAGCGAGGAGAGCACTGGGCCTCTCAGGGAGAGATTGGGAGCTGGGGAGGTAGTACAAGAGGCGAATGCTGAGGCCTGGCGGAGGATGGCATGTGGGAGTAGAGGTGCCAGGAGGTCAATTCTGGGGCCTGTGGGAGCAGGCGTATACCCAGGGGAGTCATTGGGTGGGCTCTGATGGACAGGGCCCCAGGGAGGACGGGATGCGGCTCTGAAGGTCCTTGTGGGTAAAGATGGCCAGGATCTGTGTCCACAGGAACGAGAGAAGGCCCATGAGGGAGCCCGGCCCATGAGGGCCATTTTTCTGGCCAATGGCAAGGTGTTTACCACAGGCTTCAGCCGGATGAGTGAGCGGCAGCTGGCTCTCTGGGACCCGGTAAGCTGAGTCCAGCAGGGCTGGGGCTTCTCAAGGGACAGCCACAGAGAGCTGACGGCAAAGGTGGGCAGTAGAGGCTAGACGCTTAGCAAAGGGCGCTAAGTACGTGGGCAGGAACCCTAACCTTAATTCCTGGAGAACTTCAGAAACGAGACTCCTAACATCAGGGAATGCCAGAGAGAACCGAGAGCACAGAATGTGAACTGGCAAGAGGAATTACAACGTAGGACGTGGGCTTTCAGAGGACAATCAGACCTCAGAACACAGAATGTCAGAGCTTTGAGGGACCTAGAATGTGGAATGTCGGGGGTGGGAAGGACCATAGAGCATAGAACAGAGATTTTCAGAGTTGAATCGTAGAGCCTGACTCTTCATGTTCCCTGGGGCAAACAGAAGAATTGGCCCCAGAAGGACAGGGATGACAGAGAACAGGGATCTAGGTCCCCAACCCCCACTAATGCCCCCTATCCCATGGCAGGAGAACCTAGAGGAGCCCATGGCTCTGCAGGAGCTAGACTCAAGCAATGGGGCCCTGCTTCCCTTCTATGATCCTGATACCAACGTCATCTACGTCTGTGGCAAGGTAGGCGTGGGCAGAGGTGGGCACACGGGGTGTAGGGAGAGCGTAGGACCTGCACAGGACCCTGACGTCCCTTGGCCCTCACCTGTTCTCAGGGGGACTCAAGCATCCGCTACTTTGAGATCACAGCCGAGCCCCCCTATATCCACTTCCTGAACACCTTTACCAGCAAGGAGCCTCAGCGGGGCATGGGGCGCATGCCCAAGAGAGGCCTGGACGTGAGCAAGTGTGAGATTGCTAGGTAAGAGGGGCCGGGAGCTCTGGGAACCCCAGCTGGCTTGGGCTGGGCTGGGTGGTGGGCCTCAACATAAACTCACGCCCCTTCTCCCCCACTCAGATTCTACAAGCTCCATGAACGGAAATGTGAACCCATCATCATGACTGTGCCTAGGAAGGTGAGTGGGGCCTCTCTCTCCGGCCCTGTGCCACCACCGTCCCCGATCTGATTTCCCAGGCTCTCGAGCACCCAGAATTCGGTCTCTTGCCCTCTTCTGCCCTCTGGGCCTGGTGGTATTGGGGCCAGGCAGGTAACCAGGATGAAAAAAGATCAGGGGAAGGAAATAGGGGTGTTCAGTCTAGAGTAGAAGACTGGGGAGAGACGTGGTAGCTGTGCCCAAGGGCTTAGGGAGACGGGACCAGCGTGCCCGCCTTGGCGCACCAAGGAGGAGATCCCTGTGTCCCTGAAAGACAAACTTGTCCTTCTTGGCCTCGGGGGAACAAGGAGAAGGGTCAGGGAGTTGGACTGAACTTGCCAGACAGCAGAATTTGAGAGCCAGCTGCCTTGGGCAGCACTCAAACCGAGGGGCTCCTCCCTGCCTGTGACCCGCCCCCAGCAGCCCAGCCCCCCAGGGCAAATCTCACTGGCTGCAAGTTCATCTTGACCTTGGGCCTAAATCTGCCCCTTTGCAACTTCCGCAGCCGTTACCCCTGGGGCCACGGAGAACGAGCCTAATCCTTCTTCCCTAGAACCCTTCAAGCACTAGAAGGCAGAGCTCCTGCTCCCCAGGCCTTCTCTCCTCCAGGCTAAACATCCATGCTCAATCCCTTCCAGTCCGGCCATTTTCATGTGACTTGGGCATCACCAGCTTATCCTCTGGACACTCTCCAGCTTACCACAATAGCCTTGCTGGGGCCCCCAGGGATGGTCTCGCTGGGGCAGAATGTCAGAGCTGTCCCCGGGTGGAACGCCTGGGTTGCCCCTAGGGGGAGCAGATCCCCCTTACTGGGAAGTCTTCCCGAGAGGTCGAATGACTCACTCGGTGGTGATATAGCAAGGCCCCTTTCATTTACTGATTGGACTAGATGCCCGGAGGTCCCTTCCAACTCTGAGAGTGTGTAATTCCCCGAGCCAGGCCTCAAGGGGCAGAGGGGGGAAATCATGTGCTAAGATGAGGAACTGGCTGGGAGGCCAAGGTGTGGAGATCGGACAGCCCTTGATTCACTGCAGAAGCTCTGAAGACGGGAGATTTCTCGGGGTAGCAGTAAAGCAGCAGGCGACCAGGGGGAGGGCCAGACCAAACCAAGCTGTTTGGACTTTGTCCTGGCTTCCCTGGGGAGCTCTCGGCTGCTCGAGGTGGATGCCTGAAGTCCCAGCCCGAGGGTGGAGACCAGAGGCAGGGAGGGAGTCCAGGGGAGGGCTGACCAGGGCCTGAGCACCAGGGGAGAGGTCAGAGAGAAGGCTGCCGGGGCCCAGGAAGTGACCGTGTTTGGCCAGTCCTTGGCAAGATTCTGGGGCCCCGGGCCTCAACAGGAGTTGGGCGGGTCAGAGTTTTTGCAGGGAGTCTGGGGACACGTGAAGGCCAAGGTGCCAGGCACTGACCACTGGGAGTTAACTTAGGGAGTGAGCGAGAAAAAGTCCCATGTTCAAGCCTCAGTTCTACCGTATAGGCCTCAGGCTGGTTCCTTGTCTGGGCCTCAGGTTCTGTAACATGGGCACAGGCCCAGCAGAGCTCGGAGGGCCTGTCCACCTCCAGCACTCTGACTCTCAGGGAGAGATCCTTCACCATTCAGTCCATCTCGCCCCTTCTTAGGGAGGGACAGGGCGGTCCTTCCTCCTCCACCCTTGCCTAGCAGAGGCTGTCTCCTGCCCCCGCAGTCAGACCTGTTTCAGGATGACCTGTACCCAGACACAGCAGGGCCCGAGGCCGCCCTCGAAGCTGAAGAGTGGGTGAGTGGGCGGGACGCTGAGCCCCTCCTCATCTCCCTTCGGGAAGCCTACGTGCCCAGCAAGCAGAGGGACCTCAAGGTCAGCCGAAAAAACGTCCTGCATGACAGCCGGGCGGCCTCAGCTCCCGCACCCACCCGGGCTGGGGTTTCCACACCTGCCTCCACCCCCACGCCAGTCAGTGCTCCAAGCAGCACCACCAGCAGCAGCAGCAGCAGCAGCCTTGCCGGGGCTGGGGTATGTACCTGTCTGCCAGCTTGGCCTAGGGCTGGCTGGTCAGCAGCACGGCCCAGCCCTAGAAGCCTAGGAAGGAGAAGGAAAGGAGGTGGGGTGGAAAACAACACCCACCCTGCATTTCTTCCAAGCCTGGGGAAAGGGCAGAGACACGGTCTAGAAGGCCCCAGACTCAGGTGCCAGGGTGGGCAGGCCTCTGGGAGTTCCCTCACAAGGAATGACGCAGTGGACCATACCACCCCCCCAACCCCCAGCCCCACCTGGGGCTCACTGGTCCCTTGGCTTCACTGCAGGACTCTGGGAAGTTGGAAGAGGTGACCCGTGAGTTACGACTGCTTCGGACCCTGGTGAAGGAACAGGGTGAGCGCATTGCCCGCCTCGAAGAACAGCTGGGCCGCATGGAGAATGGGGACGTGTAGTGTCCAGCCCCTGCCCGCCGGGCCGGACCGAGCCGTCCCCTGCGCCAGATTCTGCCGCTAACTCGGCGTCAAAGCCCCTTCCCTGGCCAGGGAGCAGGAAGCTCCGGCCTGGGCCACTTTTATACTTGTTACCAAGAATGATTGTTTTTTTTATATACTAGGCAAGGGCTTCCCACACCTCCAAGGGACCATCTATCCCTCTCCCACAGGCCCCCCCAGCCCACACTCCCAGGCTCCCCCAGACCCAGCTCCCCTGGTGGAAGTTGTGGGCCTGACTCTATATTTTCATTCTAAATAAAAACCTCTTTCTAAGAACTTGGCCTAGCCTCATCCTTTGCTCTTGGAGGCCAGGGAAGGGAGGGGGTGGGGAGAAAGGTGCTTGACTACCAGGAAGGGAAAAGGCATCTCTGGGCCCCTCAGCCCTCCAACACTGCCTCACTGCCAAAACCACCTCCTCTCCGAGCAGTAAGGGGGCCCTGCCTGCCCTAAGTCTGGAATCCTCAGGGTTCATGGATCTGGGGTTATCATCCCCACTCCCTGAGCTTCAATCTCTCCCTATCCACTGGCCCATTCCCTCTGCCCACAAACACCCACGTTTCTTGTGTCCTTTAAGACAAACCCTTCATTTATCCAACCATATCTCTTGGAGAGAGGGTTCTGCAATCACCAGCTCACTCCCTTTCCTCCCAACCACCCAAACTGCATCCTTGCCCTCCCTTGGGTGCCTCCTCTAGGTGTGGGGGGCACTGCCCTGTCCTGGACCTCATCCTGCCTTTCTAAGCTCCACTTGGCCTTTAGGGGATCTTCATGCATGCCCCAGTGACCACAGGGGGCCCTCTGCTCATGTCGGCCGAGGCCATCTGGCCCGGTGACCTCATTAGCCCCCAGTGTTTCACTGATCATCTCTGCTGATGATTCCCAGAGCTTTCTCTTCCGCCCTGTCTCCCTCTTCGTCAGCTGCATCTTGGGCATCTCAGACTGGACATCCTGTTGGCTGCATTTCCAACTGACTGCGTCCACCACAGAGCTCATGACGTTTCCCTCAACACTCCCCTCAGCCCAACTCTTCTATGACTATCCAAGGCACCACCACCATGTCCGGCACTCTTCCTCCAAACCCGGCCATCATCCTCCGGGCTCCTCCCTCCTACTCTCCCTACTGCCCAAGCTGTTGGATGGGTTCCTGTCACTCACACCGCACCTACACCTCTAACATCCTGCCCATCCTCCACTCAGCAGCCAGTGATTTTCCTGAATCCTGGATCTGAGCGGGTCAGCCCTCCTCCGTGAACTCCGGTGACAACCTATCACCTCCAAATCAGACAGAAAACTCCTCTGGAAAGGCCTCCCAACTTTCTTGGCACTCCACGCTGGCCTGGCGTTACAGACGTCCACCTGCAATCTCCTGCCTTGACGCTGGCCCTCCCCTCAGCTCCCCGGCTTCCTCCAAGCCTTTCCTGACCTCCACTTCCTGCATTACCTCTCCCCCAGGTTGTCCCTCTAGGATTACTGACAACTTGAATGCACATAGCTGCTGACTGTCTCCCTCATTAGAATGTGAGCTTCTTGAAGGCAGGGACTGTCAGGAAATGCTTAATAGATGTCAGCCCCACGTCCCAAGGCCTTGGGCCCTATGCCATTGGTTTGGGAAGGATTCCTCACCTAGAGCAAGGGTGAGGGGTTCGGGGCACAGCCAAGACAAGGGTGGCCAGGCAGCCCCACCTCTCCAGCCTGATGTGTGGGGCCTCCCCCAGCTCTTCCCCAGCCCTGGGCCCCTGCCTGCTTCAGGGAGGGGGTGGGCAAGAGACAGGAAGCCGGAAGCCCCAATCTAACCCAGGTCACGGTCCCTACCTCCTTCACCCAGTCTGCCCACCCCAGGCTGTTTCATAGCCAGAGCTACCGACACCAGAGAGGCCGGGGCCCAGCTCACGGACCAGAGGGCCAGATGGTGAGTTGGGGGAACGCTGGAGAAGGGGAAGTGGACATGGATACTCCAGGGACCCAGGCCAGGGTAGTTATGCTACCCCAGGCCCTCCATTCTAGGGCTAGCCAACTCCCGAGATGGACCAGGCCAGGCATTGCTGTATCCTCTGTGGGCTCTGCCTCCCTGATCCCTATCTCCCAGGACTATTTTGACCCAATCTTGGATTTCACGGGAGTTGGGAACCCCCAGCATCTGCCCTGCAGTAATAGTGTTAGTGAGTTATCTGGGGCAGTCAGAGGTAAAGGGACTCACCCAAGGTCACACAGCCAGAAAGAGGTACAAGCAGGCTTGAGCCCCAATTCTCCTGGTTCTCAGAGTTTATCTATCCACAAGGCCAGGTGCCTCTCTCATAGTCTGGGGTCCTACGATGCCAGAGCTGGGTCCAAATTGCTCAGACAGGCTGGAGGGAGGCCAGAGCAGAGGGGCAGAAGCCAGAAGTCCCAGGACCCTGGCCCCACCCCTCTGTTCTTCCAGGGTCCACAGAGGGTGGGGAAGTGAGGGGCCAGAAATGGAGGCTTTCACCTCTCTGCTCGCCCCCTGCAAGCCTGCACAAACATAGCAGCCTCCACCTGCTTTGTTCCGACCGCAAGCTTCCTCTGACAGAAAAGGCTGAGGCAGTAGCAGCAGGAGCAGCCGTACGGTACAGGCCTGAGTCACATGCCTGGGGCACCTCCCCCCAGCTGGCTGTGGGGAGGGAGGGGAGCACATCCTAAGCAGAGAGCTCAGAGAAAGGCCCCGAGACTCTTGTCTCTGGGGAGCCCTCCGAGGAGGGGCCAGGCTGTTTCCATGCCAGTTTGTATCCCTTGGCCTAGGGCAGGACTTCAGGCTTGGATAAGAGGTGTTCCCTTCTGGAGCAAATTCTAGTCAAGAAAAGCCCTCCGACACTATCTCCAGCCACTAGCCCTTTTACAGATGAAGAAACTGAGGGTCAGAGTGGACTTGCCCTGTTACATAGCTAGCAAGGACCAGAGCTGGGGACCAGAATCCCAGTCTTCCAGTCTAGGACTCGTCTCTTTTTTTTTTTTTTTGGTGAGGCTATTGGAGTTAAGTGACTTGCCCAGGGTCACACAGCTAGTAAGTACCAAGTGTCTGCTTTGAGGCCAGATCTGAACTCAGATCCTCCAGACTCCAGGGCCAGTGCTCTACCCACTGCGCCACCTAGCTGCCCCCCAGGGCTCTTCTCTTGGGCTGAGTCCCAGGGACAGGGTGGAAGGAGGGGACCAGGTTGTCCTGGATACTTGAGGAGCTCCACCCTGGGCAAAGGTGAACATCCAGATATCCCAAAGTCATACGACAGTGTGGAAACCTCTGTCCAAGGTACTTTTCTACCTCATCTCAGCCTCACAAGACCCCTGTGTGGTAATAGCATTACCATCCTAGAGATGACAAGAGTGAGCCTAGGTTTAGGCACTCGACCAGCCACAAAGCAAGTCAGTTAGAACTCTAGACCTCATGGATTTTTAGTTAGATGGGACATTTGAGTTCACCTCGCCGGTCTCCTGGCCTGGCCCAAAGCAGCCAGGCCTTCTAGGTGCCGAGGCTCAAGCCTGGTGCTTTTCCCCGGCTGCTTTCCCTGGGACACGAAGCATCTCCACAGGGCCCTTTTCCACCTTTTCCCCTCCTCCCTCTCTCCAGGCTCTGTCCAGGCTCATGGGTCTGGCGGCACTGGGAGCTCTGCCAGGGGTGCTGGGCTCCGAGGAAAGCAGCTCCCACAGCTCCATCACCGTCTGCCTGCTGGTGCTGCTGCTGCTGATCCTGATGGTGGGCTTGGCCCTGGCCTGGTATCATCTGAGCCGGGAATCAGGGGGCTACTACCACCCCACCCGCCTGGGCACCTCCCTGTGGAGCCAGGCCCGCCGGCTGCTGCGGGCCACAGGGGTGGCCCGCTGGCTCGGAAGGTCAGCCATCGAAGAGCTTCAGGACAGTATGGAAAAGCAGCAGGAGGAGGACGAGGATGAGGACGAGGATGAGAACGAGGACGAGGATGAGGACGAGGACGTGGAGCCAGATGGGGAGAAAGAGGAGCAGACCGGCCAGGACGAGAATTCGGTGCCCAGGAGCTCAGAGGCAGCCCAGGGGGAAGACTGCCCCAAGCAGGGGCCTGAGCTCAAGCCCTCCCGTTCCGGGGGCCGCGCTGAGGCCCTGCTGAGTGACCTCCATGCCTTTTCAGGGAGTGCAGCCTGGGAGGACGGGGCAGGGACAGAGGGGGCCCATGACCTCAGTGTCACTGCACTCTAGGCATGGGGGGCTCTGCCTTTGCCTCCGTGCTGCCCACTTGTGCTACCAAAGCCACCAGGGGGTAAACAGGGTTTCCCCAGCCTCCTAGGAGCTCCGCTCAGTTCAGCCTGCCCACATCCCCAGTACTCTACAGTCTACTCCCATGGTCCTGAAGGGGTGAGGGCGCTAAATGTCTCACCACATCGATCTTTGGTGGCACCAGCCCCCAGGACTGTGTACCACACAGCAACGTCCATCCGTCTCTGCACTGCCCCCCTCCCCCGCCTCAGGCCAAGACCACTAAGCCGTCCCCATCCTTGTAGACGTATGGGCAAAAGGTCCAGGATGCCCGCTCAAGGTCCAGGACGGGGGGAACAGCCCCCTTTGAAATAAAGACTCCTGCACTGGACTCCTCTGTGCTTTCCTCGACTACCCCACCCCCCAAGCCCTTTCCCTCTCCTGTATCTTCTAAGGGCAGCCGCCAGAGCAGACCCCAGATGCCCGCTCTTTGTTTGGGGGCTCCCCACAAACCAAGGAGCCCATGTCTGTCCCTATGCTCCCAAGCCCCTGCCAGGCCCCCCTTCCCAAGAAAGGAAGAGGCCCCAGCTAGTGCCATAATTCAAATATTTAATCTCCTAAAAGACACAGCACAAGCAGCTGAGGGCCTGGGAGGTGAGCACTCACTGCTCCCTGAGGCTGCAGCCTGGTACTCCCTGTAGCAGTCAGTTTCCATGATTCTGTGCAAAAGGTGCCCTCCCCCCAGGCCCCAAGGGCACTTTGCTCAGCCTGGCCCAAGGGGCCTACAGCACTTCCAGGCCAATGCCAAGAAATCCTTCTTCCAAGAGGTAAAGGGGCGATTTGGGTTGAGAGTTCAAGGGAGGCAAAGGGACACCATGGACAGCCCACATCGTCCCCTCTCTAGCGTCCAGAACGGCCCCGACCCTTCTTGGCTTTCTTGCCAGTGGGCGTCCGGATGGGAAGAGGGGCTGAGCTGACGGGAGGTGGGGGTGGGGGCAGCTCCGTGGACTCTGCTGGGCTGGCACTGGGTCGGAACCCTTCAAAGGGTGAGAATTTCAGGGGGCTGAGGGAGAAGCCAAGACAGTCACAGTCAGAGCCTGGACTTTATAGCCCCACGACAACCTTCCCCTCCCCCACTCCAGCTAGCCCGCGCTTGGCCGTCTGAGGTCTGCTGTACCTGATGGGGGTCCGAGGACTGCTGTTGAGGCGGCGAGGGGACCGCAGCTTGGGCTGGAACGAGAAGCCTTCCTTGATGCCCTCCAGGACAGAGGGGGCCACGTAGGTGAAGCCCTAGCAGATGGCAGCAGGAGATCGAGTACTCTCTCCCCGTTCCCGGCACCACTGGCCCTCCCTCATCCCTCAATCCACCCCAAACACCCGTGAGGGCTCCTCACCAAGAAAACCTGGTTGGCGCTTTCACTGAGGGCCGTGTCATCAGGGCTGTCCACGGGCGTCTGCTTTGTGAAGCGTGTGTCAAACTGGCTTACGTCCTCTTCAGACTGCTGCAGTGGGTGGAGGAAAGGCCGCCTGGGGTCAGGTTTACGTGGAGGGGGCTCAGGACACCCCCCGCTGCCCCCACAACACACACACACACACACACACACTCACCAAGCAAGGCCGGAAGGGGGGTTCTACTTGTCGGGCCAACAGATCTTCCCAATTGATATGGCGGAAGAAAGGGTGTTTCTGAAGAAAGAGAGGCTCACCATGAAGGTCGACTCCCCCACTCCTGAACACAAGAGCCCCGCCCCCTCGCCCCCCAATAGGGCTCACTCCCAACCCCTGGCAGAGTGCCAGTGTGCTAGCCCCCGGTTCTAGGCCAGGCCACCAACACATATGAAGCACCTACTACATGCTAGACAAAGGAAAAAATGAAACAGACCTAAAGCCTGTTTTCTACCCTGGAAGTGGGGAGGGTGCAACATACTGTCACTGCAAGCAGAAAACAGTACCGAGAACTAGGGGGTTCTAAGGGAGAAGGCTTGTGGGAGGGGACACCTGAGCTAGGAATCTGAAGGAGAGATAGGAGGTATCATGTTTTAGGAACAGGCGACAGCCTGTCAAAGGCCCGGAGGTGGGAAAGTGCATTATCTTATGCAGACACCAGTCGGTAGGCCAGCTGTGGAGAACTGAGCACGCATGAAGAGAAGCAACAGGAAATACATCTGGGAACGTTGGCTAGGGCCAGATTTAGGGGAAGTGGGGGGTGCAGAATTTTCAGATTGAGAAGTTTGGATTTTCTCTGCAACAATAGTGAGCCACTGAAGATATCTGAGGGGCGAGGGGGCTACAACCAGCTCTGCTTTAGCCATCTTAACTTGGTGCCCGTGTGCGTGGAGTCGCTCCAATTTAAACCCTCACAGGGACACCTGACCCACCTGCACGTCCGCGGCATCCCCAGGTCCACCCCCAAGTCGCTGGCTGGGGTTTCTCTTCAAAAACTAGGAAAGGGAGAGAAAGGGGTGTGGGCTGGGGGTGAGGCACCAGGCAGCCCCTGGGAGAATCAGAGGTCATCAGAGGTGGGAGGGATGAACAGGTATCCCTCTACCACCTCCCTGACAAGGTCAGGCAGCCTCCAAGCAAAGGCCGATCTTTGGGAAATGTGCAGCCAAGAACGCCCCACCCTTTGGGGCTCCCAGGCTGGCTCTCAGGGTCTGCCCCTTCCCAGCTGGGGGAAAGCTGACATTTCCATGGGGCCTCCAGGTGTGCAAAGCATTTTGTTTACATAGCTTTTCATTTAAGCCTCAACATCTTTTATGGGGGTGAGGCCACAGCCATGATTGTGCCCATGTTACACATGTGGAAACTGAGGCTCTGAGAGGTCCAAGGTCACTTGTCTCAGAGGTGACAACTGTCCCAGGTCTTTCTGACTCTAGGACCAGCATTAGATGCCCTCCTTCACCAGGCCTCTAGGGGACTTCCCCAGTCTTTGGTCCAGAGCCCTTTCTTAGTCATGGAGCTCAGGACTATGCCCTCTTTCTGAAAGTGGATAGGGTCTTGGGAGTCTAAAGTCCTGGGTTCAAATCCAGCCTCAGACCCTTACTTAGATGTAAGGTGTGACTCATCTGTTAATTGAGAGGGCAGGACTCAATGACCCTCTCCTCTTTGGTATCTTCAGTTGAAGCGCCCAGTAGTCCCTCACCTCGACCCTTGTGACCTCTGTGGGCCCCCTTCCTGGGCTGGAATCTGGATGTCCCAGACGGACAGACACAGACACACACACGCAGACACATGCACAGAGACACAGACACAAGCCCCTGATCTCAAGCTGCAGAGGCCATCAGGGACAGGAGTCCAGCAGGGGGTAGAGGCATCCAAGATCACCCAGGCACCCCAGCAGGCAGGGCTCTGCCCCAGGTGGCAGGAGGAGGGCATAGCAGGGGGAAGAACCTGGGGGTGGCCCCCGGCCCCACCTTCTTGAGAAGGTCCCGAGCATCTGGAGTGAGGTAGGGTGGCAGCGCCAGTTTCGCCCTGAGGATCTTGTCAATCGTTTTCTTTCGATTCTCTGCAGTGAAGGGCGGCTGGAGAAGGCAACCAATGAACAGAGACGCTTGCTGCTGCCCTCCCAGCCCCCGCTCTGCCCTCCATGCCTGCCCACCCTCCTGAGAAGATGGGGAACTTGCCGTTCCTGTGAGCATGTCATACATCAGGGCTCCCAGGCTCCACCAGTCCACTGCCCGGTTGTGGCCACTGCGTGTGAGGATCTCAGGGGCCCTGGAGCAAGAAAGCCAGACATCAGGCTCCTGCCTTCCGACCCTTCACCCTGCCCTCCCCTCCCTCGGGCCCTCGCTCCTCACATGTACTCAATGGTGCCGCAGAATGTGTGAGTGACCGAGCCTTCGTGGATAGACTCCTTACACAGGCCAAAGTCTGTCAACTTGATGTGGCCTGGGGAAGAGGGGGCAGGCAGTCAGTCAGAAAGCATTCATTAATTGCATTCATTTGTTAATGTATTGTTAATTAATTTGTTTATTTATAATTTATTACTGGAGTCTGCTGCTGGTATTGGGGCTCCCTATCCCAGGGGAAGCTTGGGCTAGCCCTTTCCCTGGCTGTCCCACCCTTACACCCACACCTACACACACAACACACACATACCTTGGCTGCTCAACATGATATTTTCAGGCTTAAGGTCCCGATAGATGATGCCTTGGGAGTGGAGGTGGCCCAGGGCCAGTGTGATCTCCCCCAGGTAGAAACTGCGGAGACAAGAAAGGTCACAGAAGAGTGGGGGAGGAGGCGCCCCGGGCTCGCTCCCCGCCCCCCGCCCCCTCCCCCATCTGCCAAGCCATGCCCAGGAGGGACGTGCAGGCACCTACCAGGCTGTGTCCTCCATGAAGATGCCCTCACGCTCCAGCTGCATGAAAAGCTCTCCTCCTGGAACACAAATCGCCTTGCTGGGTGACCCTGAGCCAGTCACTTCCCTCTCTGAGCCTCAGTTTACTCATGCCAAAAGAGCATGGTCATCCCTACTGTCCCTGCTTTTTTCAGGGCTGTTGTGAGCCTGTGCTCTGAGGTATGTGCCATTCCCTCCCAATGGCCTGTTCATGGCTGCCACAGTAAGGTGATGGTGGGGATGGGGAAAGGTTGGCATCACTCTGGTGACCATCCTTGAGGGCACTCCAGGATGAACTACAGCCCTGCCACTGAGACATACTCTAGGACGAGCTGGAACCCTGCCACAGGGACACTCCTTGATGAGCTAGAGCCCTGCCACAGGGGCACTCCAGGATGAGCTACAGCCCTGCCACTGAGACATACTCTAGGATGATCTAGAACCCTGCCACAGGGACACTCCAGGATGACCTAGAACCCTGCCACAGGGATACTCCTTGATGACCTAGAGCCCTGCCACAGGGGCACTCCAGGATGAGCTAGAACCCTGCCACTGAGACATACTCTAGGATGAACTGGAACCCTGCCACAGGGGCTCTTCAGGATGAGCTAGAGCCCTGCCACAGGGGCTCTTCAGGATAAGCTAGAGCCCTGCCACTGGGACACTCCTTGATGATCTAGAACCCTGCCACAGGGACACTCCAGGATGAGCTACAGCCCTGCCTCTGGGGCACTCCAGGATGAGCTAGAACCCTGCCACTGAGGCTCTTCAGGATGAACTAGAACCCTGCCACAGGGATACTCCAGGATGACCTAGAACTCTGCCACAGGGACACTCCAGGATGACCTAGAACCCTACCACTGAGGCACTCCAGAATGAGATAGAGCTTGCCGCCAGTCTGGAAGGCATACACCAGCTCCACAATGAAGGGGTGCCTCACGGCCTCCAGGATGCTCCGTTCGGCCCGCGTGTGGGCTGTGTCCTTAGCGTTGCGCATAATTTTCGCCTGCAAAGGTGGGGGAGAGGGCAAGGAGAAAGGGAGAGTCAGACCCAGTTGGGATTGGCCGCCTCCACTGGACTGGAGGCCTGAGCTCCCACCCCTCCCAGCTGGGCCAGGCTGACTGTGGTCCTGGCTCAGAGCCCCGATCCAGTCCCACAGGTTCTCATGAGACCTCAGCTCTTCCTAGCTGTAGGACCTTAGACAAGTCCCTTCACTTTCTTCAAGCTCAGCTTCCAGTTCTGTAAAATAGGAATCACCCTTTCCTTAAGGGAAGGGCTTTAGCTGCCATAACCCTGGCCGGCTAATTTGGTTTCTCTCAGTCTCAGTTTCCCCCTCTATGAAGGAGGAGGTTGGTTCATAGATGCAGGCCTGGAAGGGACTGTGGAGGCCAACGAGTGCCTCCCTATTTTACAGATGAAGAAACTGAGCCCAAGGGTGATAAAGTGGCATTAGAGCTGGGAAGGTAACTTGTCTGGAGGCCCCCCTCCCCCAGCTCTGACTCACCCACTCCCAAAGGCCCACCCCAGCCAGGCAATCGCCTCCACTTTGGGGGATGGCACTCACTTTTCTCAACACTTTCATGGCGAATATTTTTCCCGCATTGGTGCCTTGTACCTTCCGGACCTGGAATACCTGGAAGAGCAGGGTAGGGTGTGGGCTTGGAAGCAGGTGCCACTTATCAGGGACCCCAGCTTCCTGGAACTTTGGGAAGGGGCTGTGCCCATGGGAAAAGGCCCAGGCAGCCAGCCCCTCAAGGCAAGGATGCTGCCACAAGGCCCCTACCCTCCAGGGAGATACCTCTTTCCAGGGGCCACCCCCATACCTTGCCATAGCCCCCTTTGCCCAGGACTCGGAGGAGCTCAAAAGAGTGGGGGCCGATGCGTTCAGGTCCAGGGTTCACACAGGTCTCTGACAATTCCACCTCTTCAAAGTGCCCCACAGGCCTGTGAGCATACTGTCAGAGAGACGAAACCTCCAGGCCACCCACTTCCCCATCAATAACCCAGGAAAGCCCAAACCACCTCCTTCCTCCTTCCCGGGCCCAGTCTCAGTCTCTGCCCTACTCACTCCAAACCGGCGGTCCTCAGTTCCACATCAACATCCTAGGAGAGAAATTCAAGGTCATTGTCCTGGTTCTGCCAGCTCCATCATCCCTGATTAGGGGATGGCACCCAGGCCATGCCCCAGGCCTGCCTCCTCCTAGAAAACAGGCCTTGGAGCAAGGTGATAGGAAGGTGAAAACTGAGAAGCGGGTTGGCATCATAGGTAGCCTGCCAGATTGGGACGTGCAAATCCAACTTCAGACACTTACTAGGTGTGTGACCCTCAGCCTCAGTTTCCTTATTAGTAAAATGAGATGATTGGACTCAAGGACTTCTTCCTTTCAGCTCTAAATCAGAATCCCATAATCTCATAAGGTTCAGAGGGACCCAAGTCCAACAAAGAACTGGAATAAGAGGGACTAGGTACTAGGCCAAGGTACTAGGCAAGGGAGGTAGGGAGAGGCAGGAAGGTGAGAGTGAAAAAAAGTCCAAGTCAAGGACAGCTGGCAGGGGCACAGACTCCATTCAGGCAGGACCGGGGTTAGGCTCCAGGGTGAAGCCTGGGGAGGTGAGGTAACTCAGGGAAGAGGGCTATTCATAGGGCCAGAGAAGGAGGAGGGATGCTCTCTGTGGCATAGGAAGGGAAGGGAACCCCAGAACCCTGGGGTAGGGGATGAAGGAGGCCGTTCATGCAGGAGGCTAGGAAAGATGCTAGAGGAGAAGGAGGGCGCTGAAGGGAACCAAGCTCTAATGGGTCTGGAGAAAGATGGAGGAAGGGGGGGGGAGCCTCATTTGGGGACCCAGGGCAAAAAGACACCATCAGAGAGGACCCAGAACTACAGGGCACTGGGGCTGAAGGAGAACTCAGAACAGATAAGGCAGACTATCAGTCAGACAGACAGACCTGCAACTTTTGAACAGCCGGCGTCTGAGCAGACCCCTCAGAATGGCCAAGAATGATGGGGTTCAGAGAGAGGGGTCCCATTATTTAGAACGCAAAGTATCACGGGAGGGAGGGACCTTGGAATGCAGAATGTTGAGTGTCAGAGGAGGGGGGAACCTCAGACATTAGAAC